GGTCCAATTAAAAACTGTAAAGTTTAGAACCAATTCAGATAATGACTAACAAAGAAAACCGAAGAAAAATTAAAACGGCGAAACGAGCCAACCAATTAAACTTCAAAAAATCAAAAACCACAATACTGAAATCTTGTAATAAAATAAGTTTGGAAATCTGACCTGATTTAAGTCAATAACGACAAAATCATTTTACGATAATATGAGAAACCTTGATGCATTTTACAAAATTATCTGATCGATATCTTCCTCACAACTGTATCAAAGTCAGAGTCAAACAATTTAGGCTGAAATCATAACTTTTTCCAATATTTGCTTCTTTACATACTTCTTTGTAGTCCTAAACTTATCAGTTCCAAACTGAAGAATAAAACTCACTTAATACTTCTTTCCAAAACCTCCTTCATAATCATGACGTTTTTTCTGAACGTATTCCGCAACCTGCGTGAAACAAACAAATTTTTGAAAAGTAGGAAAGACGACCAGCACCCTTCGAGAAATGGTCTAGGTAAAGCCTTTCGCTATCCGTCTAATGAGCAAAGAATTTTTTCAAAACTGTTTCTTATAAAACTCTAGTAAAATTTTTAAAAATACTCTAGAACAATTGCTGTTGATGTACTTCAGTATCTCTGTGCCGTAAACTAAAACAGCCCAGACTACATCATAAGAGAGACAATTAGATAACAAACTAAATAACAAACCAGATAAATAAAAGTCTTGTTTTCCATCCTAGAAAGATTTTCAAGAATTAGTCGCTAAAGTCTGGTTTTGAAAATTTAATCACAAATTTCAAAATGATTAGTGTAAGTCGTCGTCTAACGACAAAAACTGTCTATTAGTAACTTGCTCAATTTTCTATAAAGCAGCAAAACAAAACCATAATTCAGAGGAACTGAAAAATATAGCCAAATGCGTCATTGAAACGCTTGAAAACTGTTAATGTACAACATTTATTGAACATAACGCTAATGTTCACTGTACCATTTCATTAGTCCTGGGTACTTGAGCTGCTAAAATATTTAAACGCTTATTTCTCTACCTCCTTCTTCTGCTTCTGTGAACTAAGAAAATGCCTTGGGTAAAAAATTTTGTTCGATCTACTGAAGACAGACAAGTTTGTCAAAAACCTCTTTTGCCACCGGTTGAACCGATCCATTTCACCTAACTCAACTGTGTACTGAGGTTACGTTAATTTGCAAATAAATTGTAAAACGAGATCGCACTGAACTCAAAAAAAAACTTCTCTCCGAACAAACGAGCCTTCACTAAACCGCAGAAAGTCAGTCAATAAAAGTATCTTTTATAGTATATGTTACTTGTGACAAACTTTCCTCAACTTTCCCCTCCAAATTTATCAAAATTGTCAGGATATAGAGAAAACCTTTCAGTAATACTCCTTCTCCAAAATTACCAATACTTGCTGAAATACAGAAAAAACTGAAATCGATTTAAAAGGAAATTAATGAGTACGCGATAACACATCAGTCTGCTGTTAAAGTTTCCATCTAACACAGTAACTTTTGGTATTAACAGACTTCTCAACTAAAAACTACTTTCAACCTTTATTTTCAATTTAAACAACACCAGAACCGTTTTCCCAATTTTTTCCTTGCATTCATTTTAGCTTCCAGATGACTGTCTTAACAACTATCTTCCACCATGTACAATTTGCTTAATCCCTTCCAAGTTTTCCTTTACCTTCTTCGTTGAACCGCTCTAAACAGCACCAACGTCAAGAAGTCAACTGTTCCCTGCTGAAATCTCACAGTTGAAGGAATAAAAAAAGTCGTTGTTATACGACCCACAGCAATCTTAGACTAGAACAGTGAGACGGCAATTGAGCACTGAATGCTTCCAAAATAGTATTACGTAGGTAACATTTCTGCCGGCATTTCAACAATTTAAAATCTGCAAAAATGACAAAACTGTCTGCTGCTGATGTTTTTATACTCTATGTATCTGCCATATACAATTCTGACGTCATATTAAACAACGGCAAGGATCGTTCAACTGGAAAGTCTCAGCACTTTTTTTCGCTTTTACAGTTCAACTTTCATACGCACACCCTCCCGCCGAACATCAAAATATGCAAAAAATTTTTACACTGCAAAAAGAGAAAACAATAGGAGAGAGTAATAATAACAATAATAATAAAAACAAAAATTATTGATCCTTGGCCAGTTTACCGTAATAACACAATACATTACTGTTGCTAACGACGTTAATCAACCAAAACCTATTCATAAAAACTTATTCAAATTTCAATCTGCGATGAGTAAATCATAATTCATAATCCGTCCAATGCAGAATAACCACTTGAAACTGTACCGCAAGTGCAGAAACTCACCTAACTGTCCACGCTAATCTATACCCGCCTGACCTCTCAATAGAAGTCTACAACAATAATGCCAAGTGAGCTCCACAATCGTACAAAAATGGTGCAAATCAGGAACACTCTAAAAACTCAGTTTTTCCTTTGCTTACTCATCAACGCCGTTCCAATAAAACACTAAAACTCAAATATGTATAGACCTCTGTAAACAGAGATATCTGCTCCTTTTAGAATTAGCCCATACAACAATGTCTGCTGCAAAACACATCTCTAAGAAAAAACAATTTATGAGTATAACAAACGAAAAAAGTTATCACGCATTCCATGCATATAATATACACCGAGATCATAAGCGAAATTTTCGACAATCATTTTACCTTCAAGAGCTATCACTTCAATGTGTAACTGGATGAGACGTAAAGAGTACAACATACATGGGGCAGGAACAGATAGACAGATAAACGAACTGAGAGGCTGACTCGATGAGTCAACGATTGGGTATAAATGAAAAACGACATACCAATTTGAAAACAAGTCGATCTTAACCATATACGTTCAGCGCTCACTATTACACAAGTTACGTGAAAGAAAACGAGAATAAATACTTTGATAAATGAATAACGTCACATAGAAATCTTTTTCCTTTTTCTTTTCACAAATCAAAAGTAAAACGCAACAGAACGAAACACGAAACAACAACATATTTGAGCAAAGAGTAAGAGCAAATGAGGCATATGTGGCCGGGAAAACTTTTTCTCCCCGTCCTGTTTGCCCTTTTTTTTTGGAACAAAGCTGCCAGATAAAATATTGCCAAAAAAATCGCCAAGATAAATAAATAGGAAAGCGAAAACAAACTAAAAAAGTTTTTGCTTTTCCTAGCTTTCTCTATCTAAATTGCAAGCAGAGACGCGCACGTGAACGCGAACAACTATCAATTAATGCTTAAAATTAGCGAAAGTTGTAGCTGTAACAGTATCTGGTAAACAGGAGAATAATTTAGATGTCCAGTGGGATGAATTACAGAAGATGAATCAAGAAATAAGAGATAAGAGAGAATATGGAAGGAAACATTCATCTATACATCACCACAGTTTTTTAAATAAATACTCCGTTTGTTACCACTCATAACACTTGATAAATATATTCTTTTGTTTCAACAGGTAACAACAAAGCTATACGCTTCCCAATTTTATATACACATAAGCGTATTAAAAATATGAAAAAGAAAAAAAATTCCACTTAGCCTTATTTTTCTGAGAACGAAACTAATTTAAAAGGAAAAATTTACATTAAAAGCTGTACATACCCAAATTGATAGATAATTGCAGTAAATAATATACATTAAAAACTTCTACATATATAAAACTGCATCATCTATAAATCTTTGTACAAACTTGAAAAGAAAAACCAAACATCTGCTGCACCGCATTTTCTAATGTTCTAGCACAGTATGTACAGTAGGTACCAACACGCAAAAAAAAAAAAAAAAAGCCAGAGCTACAAAGGAACCAACAATGAAAAACCAAGACATTAAATGTGACTTATAGACTTTGAAATGGCGGCCATTCAGTGCTTACAATACCCTCAGAAAAGTAAAACTGTAATTAAAAA